CTTCCGAAGCCAACTTCAATCACATATATTCACTCTAAACAGCAGGTGATCTCAAGGAAGGCATCGAAAATAACATGTAGACATAGCCAGAGTCTCGTTGCCACTTTCGGCTGGAAGGATTTTATTTTAGTCTTCAGACGCATCCGCATTTCCTTGTTCACACTTCATTTCCCAGCACCAAACACAGACTGTCTTCAGGTTCTTTCACCATTAGCCTCATGCGTTCAGTGCGTACGCATAATTCTGATATTCATCACGTTTCCTTAGGTTTTGTAAGAAACATGCTAAACCTGTGGTTAGCTGTCCTGGCTTAACTTTTTCTAAACCCAGCCCTTTACGCTATATCTACCACATGTAAAACCTGTCAGTGCGGTAAAAATGGGAGATATTCTACTTTTTTTGTTGTTCAAAATATGTAGACTTCCAATTAACATATCATCGCGTGTATCAATTGCATACCAAGCTTATAGCCTCTTATTTTCTCCTATTGTATCGCTTGTCGATACCAGCCTCTACTACGATGCAAATAGATCACGAAATAATTGCAGAAAGTATGAGAGCTGAGCTTCTAAGAAGAAAAAAATAGTAAATACACAAGCTAACAACAGCGGTAATGAAAGCCCATGCTATAACTGTGGAAGATTTTTTGTAACGCGGGCGGGACTTTTAGTCGCATTCGCCATCGCAATGGGCTGAGAGTCCCATGCCTCCTCATAGCACAGGTAAACACTGTCACTGGAAAGATGGATAGGTGCCAGTCATATTTATATATGTCTTACTGTGCGATCCATGTATAGAAGTATTTCTGTGTGAACGATATTTAGACGTATTTCAGTGTGATCCATATATGAATGTATTTTCTGTGATCTATGTATGCGTGCATTTCAGTGTGATCCAGGTATGCATGTATGTGTGTGATCCATTTATGGAGGTATTTCTATGTGATCCATGTATGCATGTGTTTCAGTGTGATTCATGTATGGAGGTATTTCTGTGTGATCCATGTATGGATGTATTTATGTGGATATGTGGACAACAAATGTATGGAAGTCCTGTTGTGTTTTCCATGTGTGAAGGTTTTACAGTGTGCTTTATTTATGAAATCTGTGATCCATGTATGGCAATCCTACGGTGCGTGTACGCAAGACTAATTATATGATCCATGTAAATAAGTTGTAGTGTGTGATTCACATATGGAAGTCTTATAGAGTGACCATGCCAGGTATTAAACTCAGAAACGATTGCTTCGATTATGTGACTGTCAATAGTATGGTAGCTAAAATGGTCTATTATGTGTGAGCCCACGAAAAGAAGATACCCAACAGTTTTGACTCATGTTCCATTTTGTGGGTTGTAAACATCAATGTATATGCTGCCAAACAATAAAATACACATATACAAAAGCAATAAGGTAAAAAAAAATGAAAATGAAACCTTATTTTCATTTCCTGAGAAGAGTGGAGAACCTACTAGGAACTAAGGAAGAAGAATTATCAAAAATTACAAACATAGACAAATAAATTGACAGCCTTATATCATATTTGATACTGGTCACACACAAAATGTCCAAACTCTTTGTACCAGAATTTTAATTCATAAATTTCTGATCGATTTTGACATGCTGATTTCACCTATGTAAGGGAATTTACCAACTAGCTCTAATACTTTTATTTATTTTTTTTTTTTTTTTGCTGTCGAATTTACTATACAGTAATACAAATAATGTTTTCTTTCTTTTAAATCCGTGAACAGTCTTTCTGTTTCAGTCTTTGCAAACACTGGTGTTGCATACTCATTTAATAGATATTTCAACATTAAAATGATTGAAACGATAAATAAAAATATATAAAGTTCGCAAATAATATTTTATGAAGAAACATTTGAACTTTTTCCGTTTTTATTAAGGCGCTGTTAAAGTTCTCTTTGCTTACTTCTTGTAGTCAGTCGATGAGGTGTCTCTTGTCACAGTCCAGCAATAATCAGTAATCGTTTAAGGGCTCCAGCATTCTTGCAACCGACACTATGGAACTCGGAATAGATATAACATCATTACATATCAACATAATTTATTGCTGTCTGCTGTGTGTAGTTTGGTCAATGTTGCTGTATTATGGCAGAACCTTAGTCGTGGCCTACTGCAAGGGCTCCAGCTCTCCTGATGATATCCCTCAATGTCTTTTTTCAGCAAATTTAGCATCATCTCTCTTAGTTTGCCTCTACCCCTTTTTCCACTGGTCTTTCCTGTTGTAACGATGTTCTCCAAAGTCGCTCTTCTCATTACGTGGCTAAAGACCAGTGTTTTCTTTATTATTGTTGTATACAGAGATATACTTCCATTAAACCAAAGTAAGCTTGTCGCTCGGTCGTCCAGGCATGCGGACTGTTCTAATTACGCTGCCGCGGCGTTGCGGCTTCATCTCACAATACCTCCTTCGAAAGACCAGTCGTCTTGTCTCTGGCCGTAAAGTATAACACACCATCCGGTATTCCGTGCAGCGGGAAACCAGCCCTGAGCGTCCATGAATCAGAGGGCCACCTCCGAATACGTCTAGGAATCGTGGGCCGAAACGTGTGACGACGAGGATAATTTCTACTGATGACTGGTAGATTCCCGCTGTACTTGCTCCCTGTGAGTTTATTCCCTATCATTAGCCTCATTCAAGCAATCGTTGTTAGTTACTCAGTTTGTTCAAGGTATTCGTAACATTCGTTTCAGAAACAACATCTTTGTTGCTTCCAAATTCTTCTTAACTTGTTCAATGACATTTCAAGATTCGCTGCCATACAGCAGAACAGGTTATATGTAACATTTTAACACCCTCTTTCTGACATGAAATTAGAGCGATTTATTGCACAAGATATTTTTCATTTTCTGAAATGCAGCTTTCACTTGTTTTATTCTGCTTTTAATTTCTGTCACACATTTTCTATCGGATGTGATTGTTCCCAGATGTTTGAAATCATTGACCTGGTTAAGTCTTCTTCCTTCAGTTGAAATACCACAGCTTGGAATTAATTTTCTTGTTTGAAATAACCATTACTTTCATTTTCTTAATATTCAATGAAAGTTCTTTCTCAGCACTCTCCTTCCCCTCACTATATATATATATATATATATATATATATATATAGATATAGATTATATATATATATATATATATTATAGATATAATATATATAGATATAGATATATAATAGAGAGAGAGAGAGAGAGAGAGATGACGCACCTGTTGTGGTCAGTTTAATCATTTTTGTTTCTCGTGACGAACAAAACTGTTTCTAGAAGTTGATAATGCAGTCCTCCCTATGTAAATAAAGGTTCCTTTTCCACGCCTTTTGAGCCTATAGGGCATATAGGGATAGATTTACATTTCATCACACCGGCCGCCTTTACTTCCCCGGATTGCTTCTGGTATTCACTCAAGCCTTGGTCGAATTTTTCATAACAACTTCCGGCTCCGCCAGGGAGCAAATCCACGACTTTCTGATACGCACGCGAGCGTCTAGCCGCTACGCCACGGCGATCCCTATGGCAAATGACAGCACTAAAATCATTTACAAACAGGAAGATCGGAGTCTTTTCATAGATTTAGCCAAGAGGAGTAATAAAGCTGCTTTGGTGAAAAAAAAGGTAATTGACTACAATCAGTTCTAGATGGTCACGCAGTTTGCATGAAAGAGATTTATGAAAACGTTGAGCAGCTTTTGAAGTGAAGAACTACGATCATCATCACTGATCACTTTGCGGCGATTAAAAAACGATCCCTCTTTTGCTTGGACTACAGGATGGAACAACTGCTGATGAACTACCTTCACTGCTGCTTTGTCTGTGAATGAGATAGCCGTGTACCACATGACCATTACATCAGAAGACATTGGCCCATCAGGTTGTCATTGCAGCGTGGCAGTAAGAACGTGGAAATCCCAGCACTTGTCGACACCAGCAAGATTTTGTTGCTACTTTTGCACATTAAGCTCGGTTTCATGAAAAACGTTGTCAAGGCCACGGAGAAAACACACGATGCTTTCAAATATCTCAACAGAAAATGCCGAAGACTGAGTGAAGCTAAAATAAGAGAGGGGATGTTTATTGGACCGCAAATTCAAAAACTTCTTCGCGGTGAGATATTTCTTTGCGTGTTGAATTGCAGGGAAAAGGTATCATGGCAAGTATTTAAGTGAGTCGTGGAACAATTTTCTTGGAAACAAAAGATCTGATAATGACAATAAGATTGTAGGAATAACTTATGCTGAAGTGTGAGAGTCGTGGCTGTAACATCTCTTTGAAAATGTATTTTCTTCCGTCTCATCTGGATTTCTATACGTCAAACTTGAGCTGTCATTGATGAGAATGGTGAACAATTTCATCAGGACTTTGCTGTTATGGAGACAATACACCAAGGCACAATACTACGCCAATTGGCAGGGAACCTGATGATTATGACGATAGATGTATATTTGTATATATAATTTGGCTGTAATTAAGTAAACTAATAGCGCATATTTTGAAAAGTAGAGTCAATAAAAATTTTTTACATTTCACTTTCATTTTCAGCACACCAAAATTATTTAGGGTCAGCTATTTTCTTCACTAGCGGATTTTAGTTATTGACTAGTGTAATCGCACAACATGAGATGGTAAAGATGATGGTGACAATACCAATGATCTTTTCTCCTTACGGTCACCGACTGGTAAACCCGGCGGAAAGCTCTGCTTGTTTATCCACTTCTGGACTTTGGTCTTGTTCCAGACCCTAATTTTGCGTGCATATCCATTTTACAAATGTGTTTATTTGTGTGCAGACTGTAGGTTCTTCGCCTCTCAGACATATGCATTCACACTATGCATTCATTCTTCCGAGAAATCCCCTTAATTAATGGCATGTTATGGTATGCTGGATAGTGAGGCTTGGGGTATTATCTTTCCTTTTAAGGTATCGGAATGCACACGAGGACAATGATGATGGTGCTGATAATGATGATGATAACTCTTTTAACAGTAGACCTGGCCTACAACAGATCCCAGTTTCCGGAGATCACAGATGCTGACGACAACACCTGTATCACCGACCCAGACCTGAAACTTGTCATTGTGTATTTTAAAGCCATATTTACCTGGCTGAGGGTCTTCCTCCGAAAACCCAGTGAGTATCCACTGGCTGTGGACAATTAAATACTTCTTGTGTTTCTCAAATACGAACCTAACTGGTTGCTGGTGAATCGATACATGACCAACCAGGCAGATGTGGTCAAGCGCTTTGGGAACAAGCATCGGAATCAGTAGAGAAAGCATCTATCCCCCTTCCCCTCACTCCTACCGGCACTAGAATGTGGCTGTGAAACCCGCTTGGGGACTTTTATATTCTGAAAACCTTTAACGCTGACTACATGTGTAACTGTAACGGTGCCTTTTCCACGCCTTAAAGCGTATAGGGCTATGGGGTTAGACCAATATTATATTGACCATTCGGCAGTCGGTGGGTGATTTGTCAACATAACACCGGTCGTCTTTAGCTCCCAAACTATACGTGGTCCGACACAAGGCTGGGTCGACATGAGAGCCAGAGTCAATTGTTTCTAAAAGAGTCCGGCTTTGTCAGGACCCGAACGCATGATATTAAATGTGTGGCATTTGTCAAATATTCCTTGTAGTCACCGCATCACATGATCGACTACTTTCGTACTGACCTAAATTATCTCTGTCTTCATTCATTTGTCTGGTGGGTATTCCAGTGTCAACTGCGTGCATTCTTAGTCTTTCTGTTTGACCTTCACCGAAGACAACTTATCACAGACATCAGAGAGAGACAATCATAATTTTCCGGTCATGTTATGAGAAGAGGGAAAGTAGAACATGTGACCACTGGAAAGATCTGTGGACGGAGGGATAGAGGAAGCCAACAAGAGAAGATTCTTGACACTCTTGTTGCACATCAGGGAGGTGGTTCGGCGCATGAACTGATACATGCTGCAGGAGATCGTGGATTATGGAGAGGCATGATCGCCCACGAGAGTCGGCAAGGCACCTGATGGTGATGATACTATAATATAGTTAGGCTATCAGTCATGGTCCCAGCTGCATAGCAAACGGGTCATCCTAAAATCGCTTGGTTCCTGTGTCATTAAAAACCATACAAATTGCTTGTAACTGTCCCATGTAAGTCCAAGAACTCGCACACACATAGGACAGCGACCACAGGTGCAAATGCCATCATCAGTCTGTTACTAGAACAGTTTTTATTGTTCATAGATGTTAGAAGCAGCAGTCACGACAGGCCTTTTGTTGGATATGCATTACTGCATAAGCCACTCCGCCAATTTTTGGCAAACAGCAGCCTTTATCTCTAATGTTGTCCCAATCGATTTGCCTAGTGGTGGTTCAAACCAATAACCTTTCACTGGATTACTGGGGAGAAACAGAATCACACTGCGGGATAGTGTGATTCGTTTGAACAAGAAATACTATGAGACTTTAAGAATCTCGTATTGCTAATTATATCCGTATTAGGACCTCAGAAATTATATAAGTAAAACATCGATTAACAGTCATCTTTTAGGACAGGGCATTGTCAGAAAACGGAATATCAAAAACTCCTAATGCAAAAGGCAGTAACGTGATTACACTGCTCGCTTGGGGCGTAAGTGAAAATTAAATTCGTTAAGGTTAATAATGCATACATATTGTATTTAGGTGTACAAAACCATCAAGTTAAACTAGAATTTAAGAGAACTGATGAACATACATGTATTGTGATACTATAAAGGTTATGTTAAAATACGCTCGTAAAATGTCATCTCATTCAGCGTCTTGGATGGTCGAGCTTTCTGCGCAGCAAAGTACCATATTTGACGTAGAATTAGAATCTGTGTTGCAAGTGCCTTTTTTTTTTTTTTTTGCATTTCCTACCTGTCAATGAACTTTGTTAACATGTGTTTTGCTTCTGAGTGGCTATTTGTACAGTTTGATTAAGAAATGATCCTTAATAGTCGTGTACAATTTTTAAACATGTTTGTGGATGTAAATTTTTCAACGACAATGACAGACAACGGTTATCGAAGTTTTACGATGCTATACACATGTGATAAAATGACAGAATAACAGAATTGGCATAAGATGTTATCACTATAATAGTGACACAATCGCAGTCTGCTCAGTGTGTCCAATGGTTGTGTATCTACAACAGGCACTTTCTGCATCCATTCCAACAGGGTCCAGACAAGAGCTGCTGTTTGTGTTGAAGCAGAACGGATCGATAATCTCCTGCCAAAAAGCTCGCTATTTGACTGGCCAGGTCAGCCAGCTGGACGTGTACTGTCCCAGTGTCGAGGTTGTTGACGAGCTGATTATCACAGGGGAAGGAGTCCCATACCTGTGCTCTGTTTACATCAGTGGCGGTAGGATGCTGTTGATTTTCTGATATGTTAATTCCACTCCATTGTACAATGTGATTAAACAACTAGGCTTGCGAGGAAATGAGCGCAAACGAGCACTAAAACAACTGGGCGAGGTTGCTGAGAGGGCCTCAAGCTGGCTCTGGACACAACGAAACGTCTTGGGGGACTGGCCTCGGTGAGCCGGTCGGGTGTCTAGTGGAAAAGAATGTCTTATCCTTAAAGTCCATCGTGTCCGAATTGTCTGCCAGTGTCCCTCTGCCATCTGCCAACAAAGTCTAACATGTGTCCGATAAACCAACCGTAAGCTTGCCACTTGGTCGTCCAGGTATGCTGACTGCTCTAATTATGCTACCGCAGCGACTATGTAAATACAGTATCCCACAGTACCGTTTGCAAAGTCACCAATTTCGTCTTGTTCCTTTCGAGAACATCCGGTAATACGTGCAGCAGGAGAAAATCAACCCTAGGCCTCATGAACTCAGGTGGGCCCACTCTCTGAAAATGTCTAGGAGCTCGTGGGCCGAAACATCTGTCGACGAGAGATTACTTCTACTGACGATTGGTAGTCTCCTGCTGTACATGCTCCCCTATGGAGTTTCGTCTCATTATCTCGGTTTTTTTTTTTAAATCTCTTTCTACCCCAATCAACGCACCATGTGTGACAGGATATTATTCATTTAAACCACTCAGCAAGTTGTCTATATTGTTTTTATTAGGTTTAGTCAAGGATTCTTTAAAAGAAATTCAAAAAAAAAAAAAAATGTTTTTTGAAGCAGGGCTATTTAACTGGCGGCCGGCGGGACAACTCTAGCCCATAGAGAACTAGAATGTGGCCAGCGAATCATCGCCAGTTGTATCGCAATAATCGTCTTTGTATGCTGGAAGTGGGGCTTATAGTCTGTGACTATCCATATTTTGAAATAGTTGGCCCCTGAGTAAACTTAGCTGAATAGCAATGTATTTAAGAATTAGGTATTTGACTACGGTGGAAGCAGTATATCCATGAGTTTAGTGGTGCCATTTTTTTTTCTCTCAGATATTACCTACAGCAGGGATTCTCAAACTTTTTTTGCGCCGCGGCACCCTTGCGTGGAATTTTTTTTTTACCTCACACCTACACTTAAAGCAGTTGAAAAATTAGGACAAGAAGGAAAACATACGGTGGAGATGTTATGTTCAATTGTCTTTAATGCGATTGATGAAACTGGATGACTTTGTCATTACATCTTTTTTTTTAATTTGTTGCTTTTTTTTTTTTTTTTTTTTAGGAATCCTAATTATCATGAATGACCCTTCCTGAAGAGATTTAGCGCAGCATTTGAACATTTCTTAACATTTATGTAATCTTTAATTTGGACGTTACAAAGCAGCTGTTAGGAACACTTCTATGTCAGTTTACGAATTATTCACCCTCCCCCCCCCCCTCCCACCCACGGTGCCTGTTTGTCCCCAACCGAAACAAAGCCAAGCACAGAAGAAAGCAGCCGATTTCGTATTTCAATATTCGTTCACTCAGCCGTTCGTTCCATGTAGTTTAAGCGCACCTTCATATTCTGATTAGAAATATCTTCACATTTGTTAACCCCGACGAAAAACTCGGGTGGGCAGAGAGCTACCTACCTTTAACCCCACATGTAAGTGAAATAGTTAGGGGACTTTGAAAGAGATACTACTTCAGATGCTAAACTAATAAAATCAACCTGGAGAGACAAGTATAAGACAGGGCTAGAAATGTGTAGAAAGCGATACAAGTAGGCGCATAACCTGCAAAATAAAAATGGATATGCATTCTCAGAGAGTTCGCAACGAGAACGAGAGGCTCGGTGTTTTGGAAGATCTCGACAACCAGCTTGAGTAGTGGGGTGAAGACAAAGGAAGCGATGAATACATGCTGTCCATGAAAGTTGCAAAACCAAGGGGGAACAAATCCCACCCCAAGCCACTCGAGAAGCGTAAGACAAACATTGATAAACCACAACACTGGGTTACAAGTTGGTATCAGCGAGGTGACCACAGCAGATGAAGAAGAATAGGGCAATTCATTTTTTGATTATGTCGCACTTATCAACCTATTCTTAACTCTTTTCGGACGTTTAGCCAGTATACTGGCGCTTAAGTCTATCCCTTAAAGACGTAAAGCCAGTTTACTGGCTCATGATAGAGACACTCCAATTTTGTTCCGTTTGTAGGGTAAACGAACTTTTATGAACAAGTTTTTTAACAATTAGGATTAACAACAGAATGTACTTTCATTTGCGATGTTCATCGTGGTCGGTGCATTATTTTGTGATTTTACATTTTTTTTTAGTGGGATACAATCTTTACGTGATTTTTCTATACTAAATGATTAGGGAAAAGGTCTAGAACTGTGCGTACTGCTCTATCGTTGATGAATCCCTGCCAGATGGTGAAAACTGTCTTGATATTATGATTGATATCTAAGGGACACATCTACTAGCGATAATTTAGTTTAGGATATGAAAATTTCACAAAATACTTCAATTAGATCAATGTTTCGATCAGCTGTTTTTCCTATTTTCGGTTGTTATGAAAATTGGCATGTCATACAAAAATGATTATAATATCCAAAGTATTTAAATTAATTGTTTCAAATAAAGACTAGCTAATACATAATTGAACAGAGAAGGCATGTGTATTCTTAGAATTGTATAGCAGGGTTGTTGAACCAGTAAAAAATAAGGTTAGAACACAATTTTTTATGTTTAAAATTGTTTTTTGAGTCTAACATCCTTGAATGTTGTGTGATTTTAATAATATTTTTATGTTATACTGACATTTAAGTAGTTTAGATTTATTCTGAACTCATTTATCTTTAATTTGATATATTAAAAGTCTCGATGCAGCCCATACTTTTTCTTCAGGAAGGTTTTAGCTTTGTCGTGTTGCACTAAACAAATTCCTCTTTAAATTAATGCTGTCCAAACCCCAGAAAAAATGCCGTCCTAAAAGAGTTAAGGTTCCTTCGATCTATTCCTTTATCCCATTACAGGTCGAAATCTTGCACTGAAGCAGAAGACGAACCAGTCAACAACTGTTTGTTACGATCAGAATTTGTATGAAGCATATCTGGCTGTAGATGGTAACACAAGTGGTAATTTCAAAGAAAAAACCTGCACACACACAGAAGTAGACGTCAACGATTCAGCCTATTGGACAATGACGACAGAGAATTCCATGCATGCTAGCCGATATGTCCTCTATAACAGAAATGAGAGTAGGTGTATGGTTTGTCAGTATGTTATCTATAAAGAAGATGGCGGTAAGTATACGTTCTGTCGATATGCCATATTTTTCAGAGATCAGGTTAAGTAAATGGTTTTACGATGTGTCATCTATACAAGAGATTCGAATAAGTATGTGGTTTTTAGTATGTCATCTATAACAGAGAGTAGGTATGAAGTTTGTCGATGTTATCTATAACAGAGATGAGAGTAGGTATGAAGTTTGTCGATGTTATACTTAACAGAGATGAGAGAAGGTATGAAGATTGTCGATGTTATCTATAAAAGAGATGAGAGTAGCTATGACGTTTGTCGATGTTATCTATAACAGAGATGAGAGTTAGTATGTGGCAATGACAGCGTCACTGACCTAGTCCTGTTGTCACCCACAATTGCATCAGGAGGCAGTTGTAGCACACTGGGGTACCATGACAGCTATCGCTTTCTGTGTGTCGTCTTGGTAAAGAAGAGCAACAACAGAGGCCATGAAATCAATATACCTGCTTTTATATATGTCTGACGAACCAATCGTAAGTCTGTCACACTAGTCGTGAAGGTAGTCGGCTTAATTTGCCATCGCAGCTACAAAATATATAAAACAGTAAATATCACAATACCGGTTGCAAAGTCAAAATATCGTCTTGTCCTGTCCGAAGGTCCGATAAAGTGCAGCAGGAAAAGATCGACGCTTGTCCTCATGTACCAGATCGGCCCAGCTTCCGATATTGTATAGGAAGTAATGTATAGGAAACTACCGTCGACGAGGGATCTTTCTACTTATCATCGGTGGACTCCTGCTGTGCTCAGCAGACACAACATTCAAAGAAGCCAACGGCACCCCTACCGTGACCACCAGCAGCATGACGACGGAGGTGATGACAGTAAAACAAGTGTTTGCGTGGCTCGAAACACAAAACTAAACATGCCCATGTGTGCTAGGTGATTCAATGAGCATTATCAGGATGATTAAGGCAGGTTCGGTGCGAAGACAGTGTCTTGAATCAGTTTACTGTGAGTTGAGACCTCTTTATTTTCGTTCCAGGAACCGCGGATGTCAATGGAAATAAAAGAGCTGTAGATTGGCTTGATTGGCTATCATTAACGACGTTCAACTTATGGATCATGCTGATATTAATAATGCCCTCCGATCAATGGAAAGAGTGGAGGACTGTGGGGAGTTTATCCACATAACTCGCCAGAATGATAGCCTTGCGAGTATAGATCGGCAAAACTGGTACAATTAGACACCGGACGTTGCGGTTCATTCTGAGGAGCGGATCTAAGCACCTATGGACATGTTCGGAGTGCAATGATGATAATCCAGCTAACTAAAAAATTAACTAACTAACTAGCTAAGGTGGTTTCTGAATATGGCGTCTTTAGCGAGATGCAGGTAAGTACGTGGCTTGTCGACATGTCAGCTACGATACTAAGTCCTCTATAAAAGAGATGAGAGTAAGTTTGTGGTTTGTCGATGTCATCTAGAACAGAAATGGTGTTAGTATGTGGTTTGTTGATATCATCTATAACAGAAATGAGGGTCAGAGTGTGGCTTGACGATATCATCTATAACAGAAATAAGGGTAAGTGTAGTTTGTCAATATGTCATCTATAAGAAAGATAATAGTAAGTATGTCTTCTTCTTCTTCTTCTTC